AATACATTTAATTGTAAAAATAAACACACTGAATAAAAATATTAAAAGTAAAATTAAAAGGAAACAAATAATGCTACTAAAACGTTATTTTTATAAATTATTAACGGCAAACATTCAATTTGTCTAAAATAAAAAAACAAATTAAATCTAAAAAAGAATACACATTTTCTTATCAAATCTACAGTGTTTTAAATTAGATGGAAATCCTTAATTCTAGTGCTTTAAGGAGATATGATGTAAGTAGGAGACCCTTTTTATACAACAATTTGGCAACAAAGTCATAAAAATATTTACAACTATTGGCTTCTTCCAGGAATTTATCCTAATAAGATACAAAGATTTATAAACAAGATATTCACTCTGTATAATTTATAAGAGTGAATATTTATAAACAGCGTGACTATCAAAAAATGGGTGACAGTAAACAAATTATGACATAATTATATGAAAATTATATAAACATGAAAAATCATATTTTTAAAGGATAAGAGCTAACCGTTTAGAACAATGCTCAGCATATAATATATTAATAAAATAGAATAGTATATTGTTCTATATACAGTGTGATTATAACTTTTCATGTGTATATATAAAGATATAAAAATAATAATATTGGTGTGGTAGAATTTAGATTATTTTTATTTTTTTTATTTTTCTGTACTTTTGAAATTTCTATGACGTACATGCATTTCAATATCAGAAGAAATATATATTCTCTTTCTCCTCACAACACTAAATAATGAATTAGTTGATCCTTTCTCACATCCTTCCTTCAAAGCATGATCTTCTGGATTTTCTTTTAAAGGACAGGAAAATAGAATAAAAATATCTTGAGAGTTAAATGAATTTTATATTTCTAGACAAAAGCCCTATCCTAGTTTTGATAATTTGATTTTCTATATCAATTAAATAATTTTGAATAAATGTTGATTTTTATTTAGTAAGCTTGTGTAGCTATAGCCCATTCAGGTTAAAATCTATGGAATTTATTGGGTTGTCAGAAAAGTCATGACGTATTTTCTCTATGTTTTTCAAAGGCCATTTATTTATATAAAGAACAAAGATCAATCAACGATATATTGCCCATTTTGTTCGATAACCTTTTGCCATCTTTCAGTGAGCTTCATAATTCCTCATTCTTAGAAGGACCTGTCTTTATTTGCGAAAACCTGAACAAGGGGCTGATTTACAGCCTCATCTGAATTGAACGTGATACCATGCAAGGAGTTTTGAAGAGAGCGAAACAAGTGGAAGTCTGACAGCACAAGGTCAAGCGAGTATGGTGGGTGTGACAACACATCCCACCCAAGCTCCAGTAATTTTTGATGGGTGATCAAACTTGTGTGTGGTCTTGCGTTGTCACGATGGAACACAACTCCTTTACAATTAACAAGCTCTGGACATTTCTGGATGATGGATTCATTCAAACTGTCCAATTACTGACAGCACACATTCAAATTAATGTTTGGTTCCTTGGTAGGAGCTCGAAAAACATGACACCTTTAAAATCCCACCACACTGAGAGCATAACCTTCATCTGATGGATGTCTGATTTCCATGTCATTTGAGGTGAATCATCACGTCAGGACCAAGACCGTTTGCACACCACATTGTTGTAAACAATTCACTTCTTATCACCAGTTATCAGTCACTTCAAAAAAGGATCGTTTTCCTCACATTTAATGAGCATATTGCAGATATTTATATGCACCATCAAATGAAGATCTTTGAGTTCATGCAGAACCCAAATATTGAGCTTGCTTACGAATCCCAGCTTCTTCAGGTGGTCTTGAAAGCTTGAATGATAGATGTTCAATGTTTCTGCAATCTCTCATGTCATGTAACGTGGGTTTGACTCGATCAATGCCTTATTTTGTCGTCCTCAACCTCCGTGGGCCTCCCTGACCGAGGAGCATCGTTGAGATCAAAATCACCAGCACGGAATTTCATGAACCATTGTTGGCACTGATGTTCTTGTAGAGCGTTGTTACCGTAAACTTTATGCAACTTTTCACAAGCTTGGCATGCATTCTTCCCTTTATGGAAGTAAAACAGTAAAATACAGCAAAAATGCAGTTTGGTCTTCCGTCTTCAACTTGTTGTAAAATCTCCAAAACTCAACCAAATCGCTCAATTTTTTTTAGAATGAAGCTAGAACTGTCAGCTGTCAAATGACATAGCAATAACATAGATGCGAATGACTCTAGTACCTCCAAAAGTGAACCAGTTGCCATCTCAAACATGCGTCATGACTTTTCTGACAACCTTATAGTTTATAAACCACCTTATTTTGGTTTCTGGAGTGTATTTTATAAATAATGATACTTGCTAAAACCCATATCTGACCTGAAAAGCATCCAAGAGTTAAGCCATATTAAAGAGTGTTCTCGGGGCCGGCTGAGTGGCTCAGTTGGTTAAGAGCTCGCTCAGGAGTTTGAACTCTGAGCAACAGCAGTTCGAGTCAGCCCGAGCTGAGCAGCCACTGAGCTGCCAACAGGTGGTGGGATGGCTCGGCTGAAAAAAAAAAAAAAAAGAGTGTTCTCTGTTCAAGCAGGATTAATCCTTAGATTTGTAACACTGGTGTTCTATACAGGAATATGGCATTGGAAAATCCAAGAGCTAGTTCCTGCCAGGTAATCAGTATCTGACATGCCCATAGGTGGGAACCAAGGAAGAACTGGTCAGGGTTTATTTAGTGGTAGAAAAGAATTCTGTGTCCTGGAAGGAGCTGCTCTTATCTGAGTGAAGTTTCTTTTTTCCCTCTATCTGCAGAATATTTACCATTAACCCCACTGATGTGGCCCTAAGGAAATCAGCAAATCAGGCTATTATTTCCATTGTATCCACAGTCTTAGCTGTCTCTCTTTTTTTAATTTAATTTTTATTTTTTCAAATTAGTTTTTACAGTTAAAAAAATCAAATAGTACTCTCAAGACAAACCGTGCCTCCCCCCCCACCACTATTAATACTTTGTCTCTGCAGTGAACATAGGGTAGCAAATATCTTTTCAAATTAGTGTTTTTTATTTTTTGGATAAATACCCAGAAGTGGAATTGCTTTGGTAGTTCTATTTTTAATTTTCTAAGGAATCTCCATACTGTTTTCCATAGTGGTTGCACCAACTTACATCCCCACCAATAGTGCCTATGGCTTCCCTTTTCTCCATATTGTCTCCAACGCTTGTTATTTCTTGTTTTTTGATAATAGTCATTCTAACAGGGATAAGGTTATAGTTTTGATCAGTGTACAATTCAATGTTAATTAACATAGTGTTTATTGAATATAGAATAAAATATAGTTCTATTTTTCTTTTAATTTCAAAGTATGAACTATTGGATTGTTGGAAAAGTCATGATGTATTTTTTCTATGTTTTTCATTGCAAAAATGTGTCATGACATTTCCAACAAGTCAATAGAAGTAAAAATACAAGAATATTGCACATTCAAAACTAATAGTTACAAGTAGTTGTCATAATATTTGCAAGCCAGATATTACAGTGATTAGGTGACTTCAATTTATTGTTTACTATAAGCTAAGCACTGTAATTAACGGTATACTGCAGTATATAAGTGAGATAGGAATTATTATGAGTTTTTACAGATGAATAAACTAAGAATCAGAATGGTATTCAACCACTTTTTCAAAGTTATGTGAAAGATAAATGATAGAGCTGACAGTATAAACTCAAGTATATTTTATAATTTTTTGTAAAGTAATGTTTTTTTTGCTGAAATATGCTTTCTTCCTTACATCATCTCTAACAAAATAAGACTTCAAAATTCTGGGGTTTAGGGATAACTTTTTCCAGATAGAGGGAAATAAAAGCTACTGTATTTTGCCTCATATAATGCACACTTTTTGCCCAAATTTGTGAGGGAAAAATAAGGATGTGCATTATACATGGGTAGTACTAATTCCGTATCTATATAAATGTTTTTAAAACTTTTATTTATACTTATGAGTTAAAAGTGTAACTCTAGAAATCAATAATGATATCCATATGCAAAATAATACCCTGGAATATGATAATCAGTTTTGTTGAACTTGCAACGATGAAGAGTTCTTGGCCTTTTATGATGCATAAATATTGTAAATTGTTACTGGTACATAAAATTTCCTTTTTTTTTTTTAAGATTTTATTGGGTAATCGGGGAAGGGGATCAGACAAGTTGCTGACCTTTTGTTCCTCAGTCTAGTTGTGGAGGATGTTGCTTCACTGGCCCATGTTGGTATTATCATTGCGCTCTTCCCAGGTGAGGCAGATCGGTCGCCGGCCACTGGACGGCCGCTCACAGTGGCTCCTGGCAGCTCATGCTGGCTGCCGGCCACTCACAGTAGCTTACGGGAGCCCACTGCAGCTCCACTGCAGCCTACACCATCACCGGTGACTCAAGGCAGCCCAGCTCCAGGTCGAGCTGTTGTTCACCATCTTAGCTGTAGAGGGCGCAGCGTCACTGGCCCTCTTATGTGGGATCCGAACCGGGGCCCTGCTGCTCAGAGCTGGTGTCCCAAGCCAACTCTTAACCAACGCGCCACTTGGCCGGCCCAAAATTTCTTGTACCTTGTATTTGTTCTTATGTTTTGTAATTATTTGTTACATAAAATTTTTTGTACCATAATGTTAAAAAATAAATACTAAAATTCCTTTATAATAGAAAAAAACAAGTACCTAAATATAAACAAATAAAAATTTGAATTAAAAAATTAAAAGAAAGATTTTTTTCCCCTGAAAGTTTGGGCCAAAACTGTGGGTGAGCATTATACACAGGAGTGCATTATAAATGGCAAAATATGGTATTTTACTCTTGGCCAGTGTTAGTTTCATGAGCTATTGGACACAATTCTGCAGCAGAGACTTATATGATTTTTTTTAACTTCCCTTCCATTATTGCACATATGTAACTTACTTCTGGATATTTCTCATTTAAGTAATAGTAACAAAAGGAAGAATTGGAAATTAGGATTAATAAATTACAAGTAAAATCTTTTGTTCTTACAGAAAGAAGGAGAAAAGGATCACCAGGTGCGTTTGGCCATTGGAAATGGTATACGGAGTGATGTATGGAGAGAATTTTTAGACAGATTTGGAAATATTAAGATGTGTGAGCTTTATGGAGCTACCGAAGGAAACATTTGTTTTATGAATCACACTGGGAAAATTGGAGCAGTCGGGAGAACAAATTTGTTTTATAAAGTAAGTACAATATTTTCTTTACAAAAGAAATATTTTGAAGTCTGCTAACCTCTCTTCTAGCTTTATGCTTGTAAAGTGTATCACCTTTTTAAATTTAAGTTGAAAACTTCTATAAAAAGGTAGTAGCCTCTATATAAACTATGCTGCTATAGGTTATGAAATCTTCAGCCATCTCCCATGTCTTCCCTCTATTGTATGGAGATAATGATACCTAGTTATTCTGTTTGTTTTTAATTTAATAAGTATAAACAGCAAGCATAGGTCTTGGTATATATTAATTTGACTCCATTGTCCTTCAGTATTTTCTATCCACTATTTCTACTTACCTTTCATTTTTGTATCACTCAAAAATTATGTATAAGCTTCTAATATATGGTTTCTTTAAAAACTGTATCAAGATACCACTAAAATCTTAAAAGCAGCCAAAAAAAACACCTTCCTAGGAATAAAGATTTACAGCTGATTTCTCAGTAGCAGCCATGGAAGATCAAAGATAGTGGACAGATATCTTCAACTGGCTTGAAAGAAATAATTGTCAAGATAGAATTTGTATTCAACAACATTTTTTTAAAGAATAAAATTGAAAAAAAAGGGCCAGCCGAGTGGCTCATTGGTTAAGAGCTGGCTTGGGATGCCAGAAGGCCCGGTTCGGATCCCACATATGAGGGCCAGTGACACTGCCCTCTACAGCTAAGATGCTGAACAACAGCTCAACCTGGAGCTGGGCTGCCATGAGTCCCCAGCGACAGCGTAGGCTGCAGCCTCGGCTGCAGTGGGTAGCCATGGGCTACCATGTGTAGCCAACAGCCAGCATGAGCGGCCAGCTGCCACCATGAGCGGCCGTCCAAAAACCAGCAACTGATCTGCCTCGTCCGGGAAGAGCACAATGATGGTGCCAACTTGAGCCAATGAAGCAACATCCTCCACAACTAGACTGAAGAACAAAAGGACAGCAACTTGTCTGTTCCCCTTCCCAGATTCCCCAATAATAAATAAATAAATAAATAAATAAATAAATAAATAAATAAATAAATAAATAAAATTGAAAAAAAAGACGAAAATAGTCTCAAATTATTTAGCAAAATTTATATAGCCTCAAGGGAAAATAAAATTCAGAATCATAGTAGGATATTTTAGTATAGCTCTTTCAGTATTTCACAGAACTAGCAAAACAAAAAAATCTTTCAGTGATACAGAATATTTGAATAACACAAAAACAAACTACTTTAATGAATGTATAGGACACTGCATCTAAAAGCTACAGAATATCCATTCTCTTCAAGCTCTTAGGAAAAATTCACAAACATTACTGGATCACTTAGGGAATTCTAGCAAATTTCAAAGGATTGAATAAATATGGATTATATTCTCTGATAACAGTTTAATTAAGGTAAAAATAAATTTTCTAAATGGAAGTTAATCATCTCCTATATATTTAGAAATAAAACATCTCTAAATTTCCATGAGTCAACAGAAAATTAGAAAGTAATTTGAGCTGAACCATAATGAAAATATTACGTTTTAAAACTCTTGGACTCAGATAAGAGCATCTGAAAATCAGTGGGCTAAATAACCATTTATATAAGTTAATTTTAAAAACCAACTAAAATAAACTCGAAAAAATAAAAGGAAGAAAATAATAAAAACATACATTTTTAAAAAAGAAAAAGAAACATTTAGTGTCAAAGAGATAAAAAATATAATTTTTTAAAAGTAAAGAAATAGATTCAAAGCTGGTGTAAATTGCCCTTATGTTTGGAACCTACAGAAGGTGCAGACTGTTTTTACAGTGCATTTTTTGGGGCTTTAAGGGTCCTGTTGCCATATCAGAAATATATCTGCATGCTGAACAAAAGTAATTTGGGGAAAGTAAGTACTGATAGTACTGAGTTTACATTCCTTACAGTTAATTTTCTTAATTCATTGCACTGATTCCATTAAGAATTGGCATTTTTATTAAAAGCTTCTTAGTGAAGCTGAGTCATTCCAAAGTAATCATCCAAAAGGGGTACAATGAAGATTTATATTTTTATTACATGCTTAGCTTCATTATAATTTTCTAATATCTCAAATTCCCGTCAGACTGTAATAATGTCAATAATATAGGAAGTCATGATTGTCTCCAATTTACTTAGAAAAGTTCTGATTTTCAACTCATTTTAGGTTATATTTTAGGAAAAAAATATGAATTATAGTCTGCCTTTTCTCATTTTACTGGTATATTGTTTTGTTATATAGCAGGCAGTCCAAAAACTTTGGACCAATAACTGTTTCATAATTATGTGGGGAGATTTGAAATGGGTGTCTCTCAAAAATGTAAACCTAGTAGAAGCTTACACTTATTGTCCCAGAGAGGAAGCAGCCTCTAAACAGAGTTAGCATGTGAAGGGAAAAGATAAGGCTGCAACACAGAGTTCATGTGACCCAAATGTCTTTCTTGTGTGCCATATGTACTATTTAAATACATGACACTAAAGGGATATGTGTCCCATATATGCCTCCAAAGCAAACAACATAAACAAATTTTGTGACAATGCATTTGAGAGACAAACCCAAGTAAAAGTTATGGACTGCCTTCTTTTAAACACATGGGGATAATAATTGGGAAGGAACAAACATGAAATCCCTAGAGGAAATAAAACTTGAAAAGGAGAAAATTAATCTTAAAAAAAGGCAGCTGAAAAAATATGGAATGCACATCAAAATAGTAAGTCCTCCAAAGTGGCTAGGAAATGTTTAGTAAACAGTTTCCATTGGTTCAAAAATTGCAATAATACTCTTTCTAAAATACGAGCTCAAGGAAGAGGAAAGTGCAAGAAAAATATAACTCAACGGAGTTGGAAACTAAGCATACTCAGCTCAAAAAAGAAAAAGAAAAATATTACAGAAATGAACACCATATTAAAAGACTTAAAAATAAACAACAGAATTGTAAATACCGTTAGGGAGCATAATGGATAGAATTAAAGAGTCACACAAACAATAAAAAGAATACACATATAATAACATAAAATAAATTAAAAAGATAGATTTTGAAAACATAGACAATGGTCTGACATTTGCTTAATTGGTGTTCCACAGGAAAAAAATCAAAGAGCTATAAAATTATTTGAAACCTAATAGAAAAAAACTTCCTTAAGATAAAGATTTGAATCTTCAGCAAAAGAGCACATTGTGTTGCAGGGAAAAAATATATATGGCACAGAATGTTCATCAGAAAAAAACATACCCTGGTGAAACTACTGAACATAAATTAAAGAACTGTAAGGAGATGCTGAGGCAGAAGAAACAAAGGATGTACAAAGTGGAGGGTAGAAATGGAAAACATCTCAGGCATCTCTCAAAACAAAAACAAAACACTCAATACCAGAAAAAAAATAAAAGGAAAGTAATGTTTTCACCTAAGAATATAATGTTTTCTTCATGTATAAAGGCAGCAAAGAGGTGTTCTCAAAAGTTTAAAAAATCAGAGCACATAATACCCATGTATTTATGGAAATGCAATATTTCTTTATAAAATTCACTGAAAGAATTTCCGGTAACCTGAAGGTAAAGCAGAACTGAGCAATGAAGGCATCATCTTCAGTTAAAAGGTTTCATTGAATCCGTTTAAATAAAGATTGAACGGCTCTGAGTTATGTTTACAGATAGAATGGAAGTATAAATCCTCACAATATAAAGATAATTATGGCACTAACAAAAATGAAAGTTTGATGGGAGGAGAGGAGAAAGCATAAATGCTAATTCTCTCATTTTTCATAGTAGTAAATCCATAGATACAATGTAAAGGTAAATAAAATATGTCACTTAATTAAAAGGCTCATTCTGTTCACATTTTTATAAACTTTTTTTTATTGTCTTTAAAGTAGGCATCTTTCAGGGCCTGGGAAACTTAGCCAACTGCAAAGTTAGTGAACAGTCCACACGTAACCACCCTTACTCCTGACTTTGGTTGCAGTTTGGGAGCCCCGAAGACCACCGTTAGGTTTGATGATTCACTAGAAGGACCCTCAAAACGCACTGAAAGCTGTTATACTCTTAGTTACAGCTCATTACATCTAAAGGACACAGATTAAAATCAGCCAGGGGAAGAAGCAATAGGCAGAATCCAGGAGAGCACCAAATGCAAGCCTCCCAGTTGTTCTCTCCAGTGGAGTTAGGACAGAATGACTTTCCAGTAACCGAGGCGTGACAACATACATGGAGTATTGCCCACTAGGGAACCTCACCCAGACTTGGTGTCCAGAGCCTTTGGGGGACTCCATCATTTAAATCTAGTTGGCTGCATCCGTAGCTGCCCTCCATCTACAACCTCTCAGGAGGTCAAGCTGGGTGACCCAAAGCCCTACAACTGGTCACATTATTGGTGTGGCTCTAAATCATCTTTTCTATCTGGTTGCCCAAGGCCCTTAGGCAAACAAATACACTCCCATCCCTCACGACATTGCAAGGGTTTAGAGATTATGTCCCAGGAGCTGAGAGCAAAAGCCAGACCTCTGGTTAAACTCTGAGTTAAGGTTAAATTCTTTACCCCGGGGACTAATATCTCTTATGCGAAAGAAACACTTTAGTTTAACTTTAGTTCCATTTACTTTTGTTAAATTCAAGAAATTTTAAATTGACAGCATGTATTGAAACAGTGTGGTTTTATTTTTCACAAATAATTTTAATCAATTTCCTACCTTGACATCAATTTCAACACAAGTTTGTAATGACATTCATCAAGTGCATTCCTTTATACTGAGTGCCAAAAAAATGTATATACACTTTCAGAGAGGAAAAAACTGTATTAAAATTGTAATACTCAATATATACCGATAACAAGAGGTGAATACAAGTCATGTGTATACATTTTTTGGCACCTCCGATACGTGTTTATTAAAAGTTTTCAATGTGCCTGGTACTGTGAACACAGTCAATAAAAACAGACATAAATTCCTGCCCATGTACAGATCATATTCTATTGAGGAAGACAGAAAGCAAACAAGATAAAAAAGTAAAATAGAGTTCATATTACATACTCATATGTGCTAAAGAAGAAAATTAAATAGAAAAGGAGACTCTGTGTGTGTGTGTGTGTGTATATGTGTGTGTGTGTGTGTGTGTGTGTGTGTGTTGGGAGGGATTTTGCAATTTCTGATAGGGTGACAAGGGAAAGTCACAGTGCAAAATTGACATTTAGGAAAAGACTTGAAGGAAATAAGGGAATGAGTCATGAGACTACCTGGTGTTCAAAGTGGAATGAACAACTGGTGCAAAGGCCCTGAGGTGGCTATAGACCTGACCTGGCATGTTTGAGGCTGCGGTAATGATAGTGAGGTGAGCAAAGATTTTGAGCAGAAGATTGAGTGCACCTGTTTTAGCTCCACTGGGATCACTTTAGCAGTGTTAAGAGTATATTACACCATGTTGATTATGGTGAGATTTGGTTGAGATTTGGGGAAATATTAAATTTTCTTCTTTTTCTGTTTTGCTTGACTTTTTTATATAATAAAATGACGAATTTTAACCACAATTAACTCTGCAACCATTCAGAACTATGCTGTTGCATAACAATGCATTCTAAGAATAAGTATTCAAAATAACCCAACTATATGTGATATTATATGATAATATATAAATATATATTTATAATAACTAGGTAGATAGACAGGTTTGTGATTTGTGTGTGTAAGTGTGTTTGTATTTCTTTAGCGTCATCTGTTTAAGAAAACAGAGAAACTGCCCTTGACCTATGGTGCCAGGTAAATGAGCCTCCACTATATAGGTCAAGACAATGTACTATTAATATAATGTTGAAGGGAAAAACCCTGAATTGGAATCACTGTGCCAAGGGCCCTTGCCCCAGCTCTGCCACTGCTTGACTTTCTGACATTGACAAGTCACTTTCCTCTGTATTCAAAGTCTCCTCGTGTATTAATAGAGGAAATAATTTTTGTGTTCCCTTTCTACCTTCTAGATTTACAAACCTGAATATGCAAAGGCATCCAGGTGTGTGTGGGAACTTCAAGGGCCAAGTTGTCCGGCCATGTTGTTGTGTGCTGTGCAATTCCAGGGGATCCATTTACCTAGAAGGTTATGGATGGGCCCCTGCAGCTGTGCTCTGGACACATGTGCCTGTACTTGTACGTGGACATACATTTAGGGTATTTGAAAGTGTGGCACCTATTTTCTTATTTGTTTTTATAATAGCCATTTTTGTAATGTCATGGGAACTTTTGAAGGCAGGAAAAAAAAAACCAGAAATCCCCCTGGCTGAGACGTAATACTCTGATCCCAGCCACTTCTAGAAGATGCTGTGATATATGTAAATTTCACTTGTATCATAAAATTACCCAATTGCTGACCATCAGGTCCTCTGTATCAGATAACAGCACACTGAACAGTGCTTTGGTGTGGAGTGACTCTCACTCACACACGTAGCTGCCAAATAAATGCAAAAGAAAAAACACTAAAGCTGATAACACCAGTTGCTGGGCAAATTCTTCAAAATATAAAGCATGTTAAAACAGGACAGGAAAGATGGTGCGATGAATAGGACTCTGTTCTTGTTTGGCCAAAATGATAAATGCAGTTCCGGAATTTCTGGAATCTTTCTTCTACCGGTCATTAGGCAAGTGGCCAATATCCTGTTATCCCAATTACAGACAAAGACCAACAAGATGCAAGCTTGCATTTTAATAAAGAATCTATATGTCTAGAACAGGGGTCAACAAACTGCAGCTCGCGAGCCACATGCGGCTCTTTGGGTACGTACATATGTCTCTGAAGTAAAATTGAAAATAAAAACAAAGCTATCATAGTTTCATTTATAAAGTGTTTAAAGGATTTCTAAATTTTCCTTATCTGTAAAAATATATTTATGGCTCTTGAATTATTTTTAAATTGTTGTGAGGTACAGGATTGGCTCTTCCGTCTCAAAAGTTTGCCGACCCCTGGTCTAGAATAAGAACGTATTTTGCTTTGGTCTTTCATTGGACCTCATCTTAAAATAGGACACTACTATTTTCTACCCCATAGGGTGTTTTGACGATTAAATTAAATACTGCTCTTAAACTTTCGCACAGTGTCTGGCATACAGTAAGTGCTCAATTAATATTAGTTCTTATTTACATTTTAATTCAAATAACGAATTGTGATTCTAGTTACATGCTGATTTTACTGAAATTAAAAACCAGAGATATTTGTGCTTAGTCTTTGATAATAATATTATTACATTTATCTCAGTAATCTTATCTTTTCTTACTTATTTGTTCTATATTTGTTCATTTCGCTCTTCCTCTGTCCTTCTTTCTCTCTCTTTTATTTGTCCTTCCTTATTATTTTTTCTCACTTCATTTTATTACCTCCATTTTAGTTTACTATTTTCTAGTTCAGCTTCCTAAGATTGCTTATTTAATTCATCAGGAAAATCTCAATTTTCTTATATATAAAATGAGGGGGTTAGATTGAACCAGTCTGTAATTCTCCCCTGGGTCAGATTTTAGTGGATCTGTGAATCTGTGTGACATGGTAATATGGACATTGCAGGAGCAGGGCAGCTGCGAATATTTGGAGACAAGGAGAGATGTCCGATAAGCGTGGTTCCCGGTGGGATGTGGATGTTGCAACAAATGTGCCACCTCACACCACCATAGTGTACAGGAATACTGAGTGTTAGTTTAGGGACATTCCAGTAAAAGGCCTGGGGAAATGGTCAAAGTAAGCGTCCAATGGCAAGTACTTTTTGGTATCTCGTCCCTTTTCAAAGGATTGTAAGTTAAAAACAGACAACAAAATCCTTGTATTCACATAGTTTACATTTTAGTTCTATTAAAACTTTCCATTTCAAGGGATGTTTTGAATGATTACAAAAAGATTACAAAAAGAAGAAGGCAAGAAAGTGGTCCTCTTCCCTAGAATTCGTGGAGTATGTGATTGCATGCATTTACCGTATTTGCCGGCGTATAAGACGATTTTTTGGCCCTGAAAAATATGCCTCCAAGTGGGGGGTCGTCTTATACGCCAGGTACACTTCAGATAGACTGCCCATAGTGCTTGCCCCGTGCCATAGTGGCCTCCCAATGCCCGCCCACTTCATTCCACATACCGTTCAGGCATCAGCAGCGCTGCTGGGTGTATGCTCGGCTGTTATGCGATTTTGCTGTTATGCGATTTTACCACACTCGCAAAATCGCACACAGCCGACCATACACCCAGTATGATAGCGCAAAATCGCGAATCGCGATACCATACTGGGTGTATGGTTGGCTGTGTGCGATTTTGCCAGTGTGGTAAATTCGGGTTACCGTATATTTCTTTACATATGCATTGAAGATTCGCGATTTTGCGCTATCATGGTGCCTGTTAGAATGTTGAAGAGCTCGCACTTGCGCACTAGTGAGGTCCCAGGGAGATGCTGATGCAAGGGTGGACCAGACTGCTATAGTGACAGGGCGGGCAAACAGGGAGCAGGGACCAATCAAATCAGGCTTTGTATACAGCCAACAGCCAACCACAATACTGCACCATTGTACAGGACAGCATAGAAAATGTCGACCAGTCAAACCCCTATCATCCCTATCATGGCACCAGCCAAAAGAAAGAAGTATGATGCAAATTTTAAACTGAAAGTTATAAACTTTGCTAAGGAAAATAATAATTGTGCTGCTGCAAGACAATATGGAGTAACAGAAAAGATGGCTCGGGACTGGAAATCAAATGAGAAAGCATTAAAGAGTATGCCAAGGGGTAAGTGTGCATTAAGAAGAGGCACCCCACACTGGCCAGAACTCGAAAAACATGTAGCAGACATGGTGGCTCAACATCGCCAAAACGGTTATGTGGTGACGCGAAATACAATACGCTTGTTTGCACTTCAGTGGGCCAAATCAAATCTGATATTGTTTTACCTTTTATTTGGTGTGTGGAAGGTGTGCGGAAGAGGGGGTAGTCTTATACGGCGAGTATATAACAAACTCTGTATTTTGAGTGGAAATGTTAGGGGGTCGTCTTATACGCCCAGTCTTCTTATACGCCAACAAATACGGTACTCAGTCAGGATGAAAATCAGTAATGTTTTGTTAAGGTAGTGTGCAACATAAAAGAAATGAAAATAATTCCAGTACATGAGTGCTCTTCACTAATACCGTCAATTTTGATGATCAAATATGTATTAAATTTTACATCAGAGGGTTTTAATAAATCCACATTCTAATTCTTTATTTCAATTGAGCATAAAATCTACTACCAGTAGGTGTCACTTCACAAATAAATAACTAAATCTCGTTTTCATTTGATTTTGTTTTTGCAGCTTTTTTTTACTTTCGATTTGATAAAGTATGATTTTCAGAAAGATGAACCTATTAGAAATGAACAGGGCTGGTGTAGTCGTGTGAAAAAAGGTAAGATTCTTGTATCTAAAGATGTCACCTCAGGCAAAGTTTCTCAATTTCCTTTGAAATTACTGCTGATTTTAGAAAAGAAAGAATGGTTATTTCTAATATGTAATGTGACTTACTTGGAATTTCAATGCCGGTAGAATGGCTTAATTATTAGACAGACGGTAGGGGCCCCAGGTGAGTTGATCAGATGGCAAGTTATTAAAATTTAAAAGTGATTACTATTGGCTCATATTTTTCTTATTCCACCACTTCTGGTTTGTGATAGAGGCATATGTCCAATGTCCTGTATCACCAAAATATAACATTAAAATGATGGACTTAATTTAACATTCTAGGTGTTGTGGAAAGTCAGGCAGGCTTGGATTGAAATTAGAGCTTTCACACTTAGAATCTCTACTACTTTTGGAAGTTCCCTCAACCTGTCTGAGTCTATTTTTGTTCATATATAGAGGGGACAATATTGATTTTGTGAAGTTATTGTTGTCATTTAAATGAGATGATGTATGCAACGCCCTTTGGAGGACCTGGCATTGGGGCTTGTTATGCCCTCCCTTCTCTTCTCCCTCTCATTCGCCTCCTCTACCAAAGTAGACTTTCTTATAATTTTTGGCTAGAAATTTTAATGAAAGCAAGTGCCCCAATTAACTTTTCTGCTGCATAAAATCAATCTAGAAAATTAAATGCAGAGATGTGCACTTAGAATTGTTTAGAGATCCGGTCTGAATAAATCAAGCCAAAATTATTCTTATTGCCTCAGAATACGTTTAAAATACATTTCAAACATAATTTCCATTTAAATCTGTACCTCAAATATGGAGATAAAGGTTGCAAACCTGTTTTTTGTTTTGTTTTTCTTTGTTTTTTACTGGCAGCTGAAAGATTGGAATCTGCATAGCCTTATGTATTAAAAAACAGATTTCCCAATCTCTGCGGTTCAAGCCTGAGGGCATTTACCAAATGTTTATTTAACTCAATTCTATAGGTAGTATCCAAGAGAAAAGTCATTTCTAAAGAGACTGCAAAAAACTTCGTTTTCTTAAATATTTTTTATTTTTCAATTACAGTTGACATACAATATTATATTAGTTTCAGGTGTACAGCATAGCGGTTAGACTTTACAAGGTGTGATAGAAAAAGATGGTAATGTTTAAATAAAAAAAGATTTATTACAGTAAAAAACACATTGCCATTAATCCCCCTCAAAAACACACTTCAAACACACTTATCCCATTCTTCTTGACACTTTCTGAAGCAGTTCTGGAAGTCCCCTTTCGTGAGTGTCTTTACTTCATCCTCTATCATGACAGCGATCTGTGTCATGCATCGCTTCTGGTATGGCAATTTCTGTCAAATAAAAACATTACGGTGTGTCCTCATCCATGTTATTCTCTGCATCTGGCACCGTGCAACTTCTGGCTCTTCCCCAAAGTCAAAATGACCATTAAAGGTACACGTTTTGAATCAATTCAGGACATCGAGGCAGCCACAACAGTGCAACTAAAGTAACTCATGAAAGAGGACTTCCAGAACTGCTTCAGAAAGTGACAAGATCAATGGAATAAGTGTGTTCTAAGCGAGGGGGTGTATTTTGAGGGGGATTAATGGCAATGTGTCTTTCATGGTAATACATTTTTTTATTTAAACATTCACTGTATTTTTTAATCACATCTTGTATATAATTTGTGATGTAATTTCCCTGTTTATTCTAGTACCTACCTGGCACTATACACAGATATTACAATATTATTGACAATATTTTTTATGTTGTATTTTAAAATATACATGACTATATTTTAGCTATTAATTTGTACTTCCTGATCCCTTCCCCCTTTTCTACCCATCCAAGTCTCCTTTCATCTGAAGCCATCAAAATGTTCTCTGTATCTATGAGTTTGTTTAACTGTTTTGTTTCTTTTTTTTTTTTTTAAAGATTTTATTGGGGAATCAGGGAACGGGAACAGACAACTTGCTGTCCTTTTGTTCTTTAGTCTAGTTGTGGAGGACGTCACTTCACTGGCCCATGTTGGTATTATCATTGCACTCTTCCCAGATGAGGCAGTCGATCACTGGCCATTGGCTCACGATGGCTCACGGCAGTTCACAAAACCACACTCCAGCTGCCAGCCAGCCCCACTGCAGCCTATGCCATTGCCAGCGACTCATGGCAGCCCAGCTCCAGGTTGAGCTCTTGTTCACCATCTTAGCTGCTGTAGAGGGCGCAGGGTCACTGGCCCTCATGTGGAATCCGAACTGGGGCCCTGTTGCTAAGAGCTGGTGTCCCAAGCCAACTCTTAACCAAAGCGCCACTCGGCCAGCCCTTGTTTGTTTCTTTATTTGTTATTTGGAGTCCACATATAACTGAAGTCATATGACATTTGTGTTTTCTATCTTACTCCACTTAGCACAATACCCTCTAGGTCCATCCATGTTATTTCAGGTTGCAAGATTTCATTTCTTTTTTTATGGATGAGTAGTAGTCCATTGTATATGTACCTCTTCTTTATCCATTCACCCATTGATGGACACCCAGGCTGCCTTCATATCTTGGTTATTGGAAACAATGCTGCAATGGACATATGGAACACATGTCCCTCGAAGTAGTGTTTTGGGTTTCTTCCTATAAATACCCAGAAGTGGGATTACTGGGTCCTCCTTTGCCTCTTGTTATAGCCTTTGTTTTAAAGTCTATGTTGTCTGGTATAAATATTCCTACCCCAGCTTTCTTTTTTCCATTTCTATTTTCATGAAATATCTTTTTCCATCCCTGTACTTTCAGTTTGTGTATGCCTTTCTATCTGAAGTGAGTCTCTTATAGGCAACATATGTAAGGGTCTTATTTTCTTATCCATTCAGCCATCCTGTCTTTTGATTGGAGCATTTAATCCATTTACATTTAAAGTAATTGGGTTTGTTTGTTTTTTTAAAGATTTTTATTGGGGAATTGGGGGATGGGAACAGTGCTGGGGAATTGGGGGAAGGGGAACAGACAAGTTGCTGTCCTTTTGTTCTTCAGTCTAGTTGTGGAGGACATTGCTTTACTGGCCCAAGTTGGCACCATCATTGTGCTCTTTCTAGGCAAGGCAGATCAGTCACCAGCTTCTGGATGGCCACTCACTGTGGCTGCTGGCCGCTCACACTGGCTGCTGGCTACACACGGTAGCCCATGGCAACCCACTGCAGCAGGGGCTGCAGCCTACACCGTCGCCGGTGACTCACAGCAGCTCAGCTCCAGGTTGAGCTGTTGTTCAGCATCTTAGCTGTAGAGGGCGCAGCGTCACTGGCCCTCATATGGGATTCGAATGGGGCCCTGCTGCTCAGAGCTGGCACTCCCAAGCCAACTCTTAACCAACACGCCACTTGGCCAGCCCCAGATGTTGGTACACTTGATGTTGTCCCAGAGACCCCTTAAACTATACTTATATTTTTGGATTCTTCTTTCTTTTTGCTGTTGTAATTGGGTATTTTATTGTACCTTATCTTCTAAATCAGTGATTTGATCTTTTGCTTCATCTCACCTACTATTGATTCCCTCTAATGTATTCTTCATTTCAGTTATTGTATTCTTCATCTCTGGCTGGTTCTTTTTTATGTTTTTTATCTCAATTTTTACGTTTCCTATCTCTTTGTTGAAGTTCTCCCTGAGGTCACTGAGCATCCTTATAACCTGTGTTTTGAACTCTGCCTCTGGTAGATTGTCTTCATTTTGTTTAGTTCTTCTTCTAGAGTTTTGTTCTGTTTGTTCATTTGGGACATGTTTCTTTGTGTCCCCATTTTGGCTGCCTCCTTGTGTTTGTTTATATGTATTGGCAAGAGCTGCTCTGTCTCCCAGTCTTAGTAGAGTGGCCTTATGTAGTAGGTGTCCTGTGATGCCCAGTGGCACACTCTCCCTGGTCACCTGAGCCAGGTGCTGCAGGTGTGTCCCTTGTGTCCCTTGTGTAGATTGAGTGTGTCCTCCTGTTGTAGTGGAACCTTGGTTTCTGTTTGCACATGTGGAAGGGACTGACCCTCAGGCTGACTGGTTGTGAGGACTAGCTGTGACTACAGTGGAGGAGCTATTGTGCAGAGGCTGACCCTATGGAGCAGGATTCACTTTAGCAGGGTGCTGGCCCAGTCTGCCCTTTGCATGTATTGTTCATGGAGGCAGTGCAGTGGTCCTCCTGGGAGGGCCCTGCCTCAGGCCAAGTTCAGCCGTAGCCTGTACCCTGCCCAGGGCCCCTTGGAATGATCTACAAAGCAATCCACAGATGGCTGCCACCTGCACTGGGCTTGGAGGCACCTGGGAGATGCCAAGTCTCAAACCTAAGTCAGCTGCCACCAATACCCAGCTTGGGGCTGCTTAGCAAGAGGTACAGGGCATGTGGAGGCCAGATGCTGCTTGTTTTGGGTTTTGAGAACCTTTGAAAGATTTTAGGAAAGTCTGCAGCAGGAGCCAAGGCAGACCTTTTGAATGGAAAAAACACTGGAAGTGGTTTGGGTGGACTGGCAAGTTGGGTGGTGCAGGGTCTCAAGGAATCACCAGAGCCGGGCAAACAGTGTTAGCCAGGTTGATGGAGATTCATAATGGGGACCACCTGCGTCTGCACATTGGGAAGGAGGAGGGCTCAGCAAAGGGACAGTGGATTCTGACAGCACTTCTGTCTGGGAGAAAGCAGCCCCTCTAGTCCTCACCCTGAAGCCAGATAGCTCAGTTCCTCCTTGTATGTCCCTGGTGCCTCTCAAGCTGTTGCCCCAGCACTGCAGCTTAGAGCCAGTGAGCCCATCAGCGAGCAAATCTGTGCACAGGCCCTTTAAGTGGAGCACCTGGGTGTGCAGCCACCCTTTGTCTCACTCAGCCACAATCTCCACTGGTTTTTACAGCCAGAAGTTGTGGGAACCTCTCTTCCTGACACAGGAACCCTGGGCTGGGGAGGGGCTGAGACCCCTCGTTGCTCTGGGGGGAACCTATGCAGCCATGATATCCCTCCCAAATTTTAACTGCCACACGTGGGCGTGGGACCATTCTGTTATGCGCCTCGACCCCTCCTACCAGCCTTGACATGTCTTCTTCTGTATATCCTTAGTTGTAAGACTTTTGTTCAGCTATACTTGAGGCAATTTTCAATGATGGTTTTTTAGTTGTAATTTTGATGTGGTCATGAGAGGAGGCAAGCACAGCATTTACCTACTCCACCACCTTCGCTGAAAATCACAAGAACTTTATTTAAGCACACTTTACTAGTGTGTTTTATTTACTACAATTACATCTGAAGTTGGAATTTGAATCCAATGCTTATGTAACCTCAGAGTTTCTTAAAAAATGGATTGTCCCCAAATATCTGCTTTACTATTTTGCACTTCTCATTATGGGTTACTAGATATTTTATGTTTCTATTAAACCATTGTGTCTTGCATAAATTATGCCTATAATGGTTAGATAAGAATGCACTACGATCTTTTTAAGCATTTGCAATTATTGACTTCTCAGGGAAGAAACCGTCCTTTTGTATGTTGAAGAAGAAAAACAAAATAAATTTTAAGAGAAATACAAGGCTTGGGGAAATTCTGAAATATAGGGAATGGAGACTGATGGCATATGCAGTGCAGGAAAGGCTTTGTAGTGATATGGACCCGGTTAAAAAAATACTTCAACCCCAACATTTGGCAGCTGTGTGACATTGGGCAAGTTGCTTTTTATTTCTCAGTTTCTTCACCTATAAATGAAGATAATAGGAGGCCCTGTCTTACAGGTTTGTGATGAAGATCAGATGGGATACATTTGTAAAGCTCTCAGAATGGTGACTGGTACCCAGAAAGTGCTCAATACGTGTAGTAATGACAATGATTACGATGACGGTGTTAATGATGGTGTTGGTGATGATGACAACAGCAAAGGGCCTTTGCTGTGGCAGAGCAGGCTTGTTTAGGCCAGTAGCATGTGTGCCCTTGGCAATCAGAATGTCCAGAAGGACTGGGAGTGATGGGAGTTGAATATGGACGTTAAAATGACATAAATTACTGCACTTCGACCCCGTCTGACTCTCCCCTCAATATTGCCTCTCTTCACAGGGGGCAAAGCAGGTCAACAATGGCCTAAGATCTGATTGCTGCTCCCTTTGTCTTCTCTCTTTCTCTTAGAAGTAGTTTTTCACCTTGCAGATTCCTGGGCGAAATATCGATTCATTTGAAGTAAAAACTAATGAATTTCATGTCTCATCTCTTGCCCGCCAAGGATTTCCAGACTAACATCCCAGAGGATTAAGACATTTTCCTAAACTTCTAATAACATATTAATTAGATCAGAGATAGTACTATACAAATACCTTGAGGCAAAATCATTAAGACTTGAATTTGAGTTCTATAGGTCCATTGCTTTCTATCTGTTGAACTTTGGTAACTTGTTTTACCCTTTTGGGCCCTGGTTTCTTCCCTGTGAAACTGGGATTATAATTATCAATTTCAAAGGATATTTGTGAAGAATAAACAAGATGACAGTTGCAAAGGGCTCATGGGGCTTGCTACATAGTAAATGCCCAATAAATAAATATTGCTACTATCATATCCTTATTAAAATTATTATTATGGTTGTTATTGATAATATAGTTGTCATTATTTATTATCAGTGCTATAATCTAAAAGAAAACTAATCATTGGTCTACCCACCCAGAATGTGAAATAAATTTAATATACTTATTTTTACATTCAGTTTCCTTTTTGTTAGTTTTTCCAAAGTGAAAGAATGTGCTACTTGTGCTGTAAGCACCCAGAACAAATGATGTCAAATATAATAAAAATAAGTTCAAAGGAAAGTAAGATAGGCAACACTGGCTGTGTTGGTCAGATGTAATTTAGGTACATAATGCATGGTGTGTATAATAATAGTTTTAATCAGATCACTGAAGAATGCCTTTTTCTCACAGGAGAGCCCGGACTTCTCATTTCTCGAGTGAATGAAAAGAATCCCTTCTTTGGTTATGCTGGGAATAAGAAGCACACGGAAAAGAAATTGCTTTGTGATGTTTTTAAGAAGGGAGATGTTTACTTTAACACAGGAGATTTAATGGTCCAAGATCAGGAGAATTTCCTTTATTTTTGGGATCGTATTGGAGACACTTTCAGGTCTGAAATATCATCAGTTGCACTGATTGTTCTGTAATTGTGAACCGAGCTCCATCCAAGGCTCTATGAAAACATTATAAATCACGTGCCCTTTACTTTCAGGGTAGACCGAGCCCTTTTATCTCAGTCATGCCTCCTCATTTAAAAATTTAAAAATCCTCCATCTGTTTCCAGATTGAAATATAAGTTAAATTTTGATGTCAATTTTTATAATTATTTTAATGAATCCATCTGACCAAATTATTGAGCTGCTTTTTTTAGAATTTCAAACAGGTAGATGTGAAGTCTAAATGGTAGGGTTAAAACAGAAAACCAGTTTGGCCAAATATGATATAATTCGTTACCTAATGATAAAAATAATGAAATGGCAAAATTTCCCTTTCTTTTATTTTCTTTTCTAATTACTTAAAATTATTTTAGGCTTATGAAATTTTTTTACTTTACTAATCAGTGACTATAGAACAATGAAAGACAGACAGTAGACATGGCAAAACTGCTTGAATGAATTATACTTCTTACTGCCTCACCTTCTTGTGCTATGTTAGGAGCTCACTTTATTTGAAATTATTTTAATTAAAATAAAATATTGATTCATATGCACTAAAAGATCCAAAGGAATTAATCCCTAGAAATTAAAAGTACAGTGAAAGACAACTATAACTTTCCTTTTATTTTATTTTTTTTCTTAGCTCTATCATTAGAGATAGGAAATGTTTGTACTTAACTGTTAGTATTTTACAGAGGGATTTATCTTTTTTTTTTTTTTAAAGATTTTTATTGGGGTATTGGAGTGAAGGGAACAGTGCTGGGGAATTGGGGGAAGGGGAACAGACAAGTTGCTGTCGTTTTGTTCTTCAGTCTAGTTGTGGAGGACATTGCTTCACTGGCCTAAGTTGGCACCATCATTGCGTTCTTCCCGGGCGAGGCAGATCAGTCACCAGCTTCTGGACGGCCGCTCACTTCGGCTGCTGGCCGCTCACGCTGGCTGCTGGCTACACATGGTAGCCCATGGCAACCCACTGCCACAGGGGCTGCAGCCTACGCCGTCGCCGGCGACTCATGGCAACCCAGCTCCAGGTTGAGCTGTTGTTCAGCATCTTAGCTGTGGAGGGCAGTGTCACTGGCCCTCATATGTGGGATCTGAACCGGGGCCCTCTGGCATCCCAAGCGAGTTCTTAACCATTGCGCCACTTGGCCAGCCTATTTTATTTTTATGAATAAACAACTGAAAAAACACTGGCAGTAAGCAATTTATACCAATGAGACATAGATAAAGTAATTCTAACTAAAAGCATGCTAATTTTGTTGACTTATCAACAAAGTACTCCTTTACAAAATGCCTTTCATTTTGAATACTGCCATTGTTTTTGGTTACTAGGTGCTTTCACAGAGCCAAATGCAAGGTGCTAAAACTGGGTACCTAGTTCTTCAAATATAGGTACACTAACTGGAACTTGCTTTTTATTTAGATGGAAAGGGGAGAACATTGCCACCACAGAGGTTGCTGATGTTCTTGGAATGTTGGATTTCGTACAGGAATCAAACGTCTACGGTGTGGCTGTGCCAGGTAGGAATATATTTCGGGTTTTGGAAGGATTCTCAAAAAGAGAATTTTTCTTTAGTTTTGCAACAATCTTATACTAATTCAACATTTTGTTTTTTATATATAGTAATACCTTGGTTTGCGAGCATAATTCGTTCCAGAAACAAACTACTCATATTGCAAGACAACACTCATTTACCACATTAAAATGTACTTGGTTTGCGAGCATAATTCATTCCAGAAACAAAGTACTCGTATTGCAAGACATTGCTCGTTTACCACATTAAAATGTATTAGGAATGTTTGCTCGTCTTGCAGAACACTCGCAAACCAAGTCACTCGCAATCCAAGGTTTGACTGTATTAAAATAATTATCGTAGTCTCATTTTTTCAAATAGTGCCCTGGACCAAGCTAACAAACTTCACAGACACATTAGAGGAAAGATATCTATTGAATTTTAATGTTTGTGTGTCAGTGAGTCACTGCTTGACAATAGGTTACAGCTTTTCAATATTCTATTATTTTTTTCTTTATGACAAGAATTTATACATGCCACTAAACAGAAACAAGTTCTAGCTTAAATGTTCAATAACACTAATTGGTAGTTAAGTTGTATCTTTTTAAAAACTTATTTTAAAATTTGGCCTCATTTATTTTCATAAATATGCATTTGAGGATTGTCTCAGGATAGTAGAAATGGCAAATAAAAATGATCAACTCAAAATCACAGGATTTCCCTTCACTGTCTTTTTTTTTTTTTTTTACAAATGACAACATTTTTCAACTAATGTTTATATGTGTGGAGGGCGGGGGAGTGTGGATAGGGGCGCAAAGGAAGGAGATGCTTATTGTAATAGCCAGGTGCTGGGGAAATGGTCCAGGAAACTGTGATCTCCTAGAAGGATTGATAGGTAGCATGATAAGCAGTAGGCAATCTGTGGACTTGATTATGGAAATGCTGTCTCTAGTTTCTTAACTTGAAAATATATCCTTTATTTTTTTCGTTGCTGCTTAACATGGACATTTCTCTGGAATATGTGTGTCTTTAAAGAAATCTTTCCTCAGTATTTTATATTAATGGTGGTAGGATGCAAATAACAGGTCATTTACGATGTTTTCCATTCCATCTATCTCATTTTTGTAATGTAGACAGGGATAGACTTTGACCTTCCCTTTTCTTAAATTAGTTCTAGGGAGTAAATCAAATGCTCAGGGAAGGACCCACTCATTCATGACACTGTTGCACTGTATTGTTGCAATGAATTTAATGTCTCTATTTACAACAATTAATATGCAATTTACAGGATTATTTTAAAAATTGACCTAGTGCTTGTAAAATTGACTCTGTTTCAATCTTTTTTTTTCAGAATGTGAAGGAAAAACAGGAATGGCTTCCATTATTTTAAAACCAAATAAGCCTCTAGACTTGGAAAAAGTTTATGAACAAGTCGTAACATTTCTACCAGCTTATGCCTGCCCACGATTTTTAAGAATTCAGGTAATTTTACTTACCCATCAAATTTAAGACCAGGAATCCAGGAGATGGTTTAATTACAAATAATATTTTATCCTTTAGATAATATGTGCATTTTATTTACATTAGAGAATTTTAAAAGCAATGAAGAAGCCTTGAGATGCTATTATGCCATATTTGAAGCCTAATTATAAGGGGGGAGTTTGATGAACTGCAAGGATGTCTTTCTCTTTGTCCTAATTTGGAATTGCTCTCTTCCTCTTCAATCATGACCTCAGAGCAAAAATGGTGGTCCCAGAGATTGTGGCAAGCCAAAGCATATCTTATGCATACCTTGTGAAAACATCTGGTGCTCTGTGCCTAAAATTAGGTTCCGCCACGCTGACGTCAAAGCATCTGTAGGATGTGGGCAGAACCTAAAGACAACTGCTTTAAGCAATTCTGCTTTTAATCTTTGTTCTCCTTCTGTCTAATTTCCCTCTGGCATTTTATATTTTGGAGGAATTCTGAATTTATTTGTTTTGAGAGATGGGCACTCTCTTATTAGGTTACTAGAATAGAGTACAGTAAAAAGAAAATGAATTTACTCAGCTACTGGGTGACTTGGCTTTGCTCATTTTTTCAGCCATTCATTTATTTAGTATTGCTCTTCAAATATAATTTCCCAAAGCTAGTACTCATCACCTCTTAACACCCAAATATAGAATTTTTCCAGATATACTTGTCATATTTCTATTAGTTCTCCAATAAAGTAATATATGGTGTCATGTACATTTTTAAAGAATTTCCTGAGCAGTCCTCATGGCCAAAGTCACTGTTTGACCAATGGGACACATCATCTGAACTGTCATAAATACATATTTCATTTATATAATATTTTTTATTTTTAAGAGCTTTTACACATATCACCTCAGATTATTTTCATAACAATAGTCTCAAATACTAAAGGTAAGTAGATATAAAGCAGAAGTAACACATTTTTAATTGAAAAAGCTTTTGACACCATTGTGGAGTCACATGGAGTTACGAAAAATAATACAGAGAGATCCTGTGTACCCTTTACTTGGTTTTCTCCAATGGTAAAATGTTTCAAAACTATTATAACCAGGATATTGACATTGATACAATCTACCCATCTTATTAAAGTTTCCTGTGTTTTACTTGTACTTGTGTGTGTCTATGTGTCTGTGTGTTTATGTGTGTCTGTATTGTAGGGGCGGAAGAAATTTTTCTCTATCCTAGATTCTTCCAGCTGGTCTACTAATTAAATTGACATGAGACAGGTTAACAAGAGAAAATAACCAAATTGAATTACATATGTACATATGGGAACCCCACATACCTGAGAGAGTCAGACAGTTTCAGAGACAGAAAGTTAAAATGAGATATACAAGGCATTCTGAGCTAAGGAAGAGGGAGGCGCCTTGGGGTTTCAGAAGGAGGAAGGTCATTTGCAGGACAATAAGAAGAGCAGATGTTCAGTAATTAGAAGTTTGCCCTGCCATATGTACAGGTCATAAAGTTATCTCTGGTGATGACTCTTTATGGGCAAGGCCCCTACTTTCAATTCTTTAAGGGAGTGGTAACTGTGTCTTGTGAACCCACAGGGTCTCAGTTGCCTTCAGCTCAAAATAATTCACATGCCAAAGTGGCACATTTTGGGGAGGCCTGATCTGAACCCCTTCAGTATTAAGTTATTTTATCAGCTGTGTAGCTTTACACATCAATGACCACAGCCAAGATATGAACAATTTCAGGCCAACCGAGTGTCTCAGTTGGTTAAGAGCGCGATCTCTGAGCAACAGGGTCACCAGTTCAATTCCCACATGGGTCAGTGAGCTGTGCCTTAGTAGAGCTGCCTCTGAGCTGCCAACAGGTGGCAGGGTGGCTCAGCTGGTGTGAGCACATGCTCCTAACAACACGGTTGCCAGTTCAGCTCCTGCATGGGATGGTGGGCTATGCCCACCTGCAACTAAGATTGAACACGGCACCTTGAGCTGAGCGTCCTCGAGCTGCCGAAGGGCAGCCGAGTGGCGACTGGACTTGGAGCTGAGCTAGCTGCGCCCTCCACAACTAAGACAGGACAACAACTTGTCTGTTCCCCTTCCCCAATTCCCCAACACTGTTCCCCTTCCCCAGTTCCCCAATAAAATCTTAAAAATAAATAAAGATATGAACAATTTCAACACCGCAAGGATCCTGCATGCTGCCCTTTTATGACCTCACCCAGCTCCCTCCTGCTCCTCCCTGTCCTGCCCCAGAAACAATGTATTTTAATGGAATAGAAAGTTGACAAATCAAATAATATTTTAAACATTTTTCCCCTAAAGCAACTTAAAATTCACTTTTATTAAGCAGGAGAAATATTTTGGCATAGGACTACTTTAGAAGATTAAATCAAATCAGTCTTCTACAAATTTAGAAAATATTTTAGCATCATTAAACACCTAAAAGCACTTGGGCCATGACTGTTATGTTCATTAGAGTATTTGCTATAGTTAGCATAATGCATGATGCTTAGTTGGCAGCAAAATATTTATTTAATAAATGAATTAATGATCTGATATAAGCAAAAGAATAGGTTACTTCTGACAAAATGAAAACAGCAATTATATTATTAAAAATCTGTTCAGCACAAATTTTAAAAGGATTATCTTGCCAATAAATTTACCAAAAAAAAATTTTTAATGTGATATTACCCAGTATGGCTGTGAAGGAATTAAATTGGTTCTTTCATTCTTCCTGTGAAAATACAAATTATTATGACCTCTCTAAGAAACAATTTGGTAAATATGTAATCAGACTCTTAGAATTTGCAGCTATTTTGACTTAGTAATTCTATTCCCAGAAATTTATCCTTAGGAACTAATCAAAGATGTACAATGTTATGTAGAAATATGTACTTCAAAGAGTTATTTATAGTAGTGAAAATTTTTTGATGTTCTCTCTAAGTTCAAGAATAAGAGTGAGGTTAACTAAAATATTATAATTAGATGAGATCTTATGAAACCATTAAAAAGTGTTGTTTTGATGAAAATTACCTAACCTGGGGAAATATACCTGGTATGCTACTTTTTTTTAAAAGCAGAACATAAAATTGTATAAACACAATGAACTTCCAATTTTCTAAAACAGAGACAAAGAAAATGTGTTTCTACACAGTCCAATCTAATTCTGTGATGACAGTGTTGGGTAGGAGAGGGGAGAAAAGGGGTAAGAGCAAAGAAGGATATTTCAGAGGGCATTTTTTATTTCTAATGTTAAATTATTAGTAGTAAATAGAGAAGGCTATTGGATATAAAAATGTTATAATTCAATATTACAGTCTATATTGTTAATATGTAATTTTTATATTATATATAATATTAAATGAATCCACTAATCCTGGTACTTGCTTTATAGAAAAAGATGGAAACTACAGGGACGTTCAAACAAAAGAAGCTTCAGTTGGTGGAAGAAGGATTTAGTCCATTGAAAATTTCTGATCCACTTTACCTCATGGATAACTTGAAAAAATCTTATGTTCCATTGACCAAAAAACTTTATGATCAAATAATGTTAGGTGAGATCAAACTTTAAGATTTTTTATATATATGGGGTTTTTCATATGCTTTCTTAGGAGAGGTGAGAGGAAAGTGTGTGGTTCTTTAATATGAAATGAAAGAAAGGAACTGACATTAATTAAGCATGTGCTATATTTCCTTAATTAAAGCTTTTCTTTAATGAAGAACTTTAATTTGTTTTAATTGATTAAAAAAACTTTAGTTGATGTTCTTTTTACCTATTTGGAGATTCAGTACATAACTAAATATTTGCCTAAATCATAAAATTTTTAAGTAATAAATAAGTGGGTAATAGTTTAGATACTTACTACAAATGTACTTTTTAATAGTTAAGGTTTCTAGTTTTGAATAAATGGTTAAATTCTAATCAAATATTTTATTTTTATGTTCCCTGTCCTGTAATTCAATAAAATCATGTTCATTAATATGTGTCTTGAGGTTTTGTTCTGATTGTAAATTTCTAGTTAAAGGAAACTGACTGACTCAGTGCATACTCCTGCCTCCCTTATCTTAAACTCACATTAAGATGATAGAAGAAACATGAAAATATGAAACAACAGAGCAGGAAAATTGGTAAGCCTAAAGCGTTTAGAAATTTTTTGAAGATATATACATGGGATCAAATTCATGATAAAATCCAATAGAGCTATAGAAACCACTAATAATACAAGGAAAGAATAGACAAGAATATAACTCTAGTTTTGTTTGTGAGGAGCTAACTGGGAAATGTATTGCAAGGATAGTGTAATAAGCACAGTTGTATTTATCTCAATCTGTAAGCACCAGACTCCAGTGTTTGCTTCAATCTGGAAGCACACTAATTACTCTTTTAACAAAATGAGTTATCTTCCATAGGAGGGGTTATTTATTACACATTCATTGACAAAATATGTATCACACATCTGAGAAGTATATGCAGAGGCCCTAGAAGAGAAGAGAATTTGGTATGTTGGATGCACAGAAAGGAAGCCAGTATTTCAAGTGACTGGAGCAGAGTAAATCCAGAAGAGAAAACTCGAGTGGAAGATGGACCTGTAGGCAGTGAGAACCAATGGAAATCGTTTAATCATGGAAAAGACACTATTAAAAAGGTTGCACCAACTTCTGTATGGATATCAGAGTGGGAAATAAGGCAAAAGTGGAAATGAGAAATCAATTAGAACTATTTGTTTCGGTGAGTTGTATGTGTCGACTTGGGTAGGCCATGGTGTGCAGTTGTTTGGGCAAACACTAGTCTGGATGTTACTATGATGTATTTCATAGATGTGATTAAATTTATAATCAGTAGACATTAAATAAAGAGATTACCCTCCAAATTGTGGGTGGGCCTCAGCAGGTTTCCTAGAGAAAGAGTTCTGCCTCAAGACTGTAACGCAGAAATCTTCCTAGTTTTCAGCCTCCCAGCCTGCCCTAGAGATTTCTGACTTGCCAGCCCTTATTCCTTTAACTCGATGATAGATAGATAGATAGATGATATAGATGATAGATAATAGATGTAGATAACACACACACACACACACACACACACACACACACACACACACACACACGGCTAAAATATAGGTGGAAACACCGGAGTGATCAGAGAAGTAGAAGGCAAATGAGCCCTAGAATGTCCCAGACCTATCAAGGGAATAGTCAGTAGTGTCAAATGATACTGATCTAGAAAGATAAGGCTAGAAAGAAGTGTTACATGGGTTTGTCAAAATGGATGTCATTAATGACCTCAGCAAGAGTAATTTTTTACTGGTGGGGAGGCAACAATCAGATTCAGATAGATTGAAGAGTGAAGGGTAGGTGAGGAAGAGGAGATAATTCTTTTGTGAAATTTTGCATTAAGCAGGGACAGAAATAAAGACCTTGAGGAGTATGTGGAGTCAAGAGAGAATTTAAATATTTTATTTATGTTTTGTTGTTGTTTTTTAAGATTTTATTGGGGAATTGGGGGAGGGAACAGAGTTGGGGAATCAGGAAAGGGGTACAGACAAGTTGCTGTCTTTTTATTCTTCAGTCTAGTTGTGGAGGACGTCGTTTCACTCGCCCATGTTGGTATAGTGATCATTGGCTCTTCCTGGCTGAGGCAGATCTGTCGCCAGCCATTGGAGGTCCACTTAAGGCAGCTCCAGCTGCTCACACTGGCTGCCGGCCGTTCTTGGTAACTTACGGCAGCCCCACTGCAGCCTATGCCATCACTGGCGACTCAAGGCAGCCCAGCTCCAGGTCAAGCTGTTGTTCACAATCTTAGCTGTAGAGGGCACAGCGTCACTGGCCCTGTGGGATCCGAACCATGGAGCTCATGCTCCCAAGCCAACTCTTAGCCAATGAGCCACTCGGACGGCCCAATTTATGTTTTGTTTTAACTAGACCTTCTTTTTCATTTATTTATTTTTATTTTACCTGAGCCATCCTGCTACCTGTTGGCAGCTCAGCTCAGGCCAGGAATCAAACCGCTGTAGCTCAGAGCTCTCACTCTTGAGCGAGCTCTTAACCAACTGAGCCACTCCGCAGGCCCTAGACCATCTTGATTTAAATGAAACAATAAATAAATAAAACAAGAGGAAAAGATACATTGATAAGTCTAGGTTCTATCCTGACTTTGTCTCCCACCCTTGGTAGATAAACACTTTTTATTTTATTCGTTTCTTGGGAAAACTTTCAGTGTTTCTTTATGAAGACATAGTAAATATGAATGCATATTCTTATTTCCGTTCCCATTGTAAGCATATAAAATACTATTCTGTACATGAAGTTTTTCATTTAATAATGTTCATCGGAGACTTTCCAAATGGATATACAGAGAGCTTCCTCATTTTTTATAGTAGTTTTTGATGCATATATTATATTGGGTTGTTGGAAAACTCATGACATATTTTTTCTATGTTTTTCGTTGCAAAAATGTGTCATGACTTTTCCAACAACCCAATACTTTATTTAAGCAGCTCCCTATTCATGCACTCCTGGATTGTTTCTAATATTGTGCTACTACAGCCAATGCCAAATTAATTACCTTATTATTTCCTCTTGTAAATGCCCAGGTGCATCTGATAAATAAATTCCCAGAAATGAGATTGCTGGACCATGTTTTTATAATGTAGATAGGTATTGCTAAACTGAATTCTGTGGGGTTATGTAATTTCACATTCCCATCATAGGGCCTGTTTCCCTATTCCCTTGCCAACTGTTGTGAAACCTTTGAATTTTGCCAATCTGATCATTGAAAAAGAGAAGCTAAGTGTATTTTCAGTATGTGTTTCTCTTATCATGAATAAAGTTGGACATTTTTATACTCTTAAAGAATTATATTCTCTGAACTATTTGTGCTCATTACCTCTGTCCTTTTTTTTTTTCCACTGTCTTACTTACCTTTGCTAAGAGATCTTTATTTAAGAGATTATCCCTCATCTGTGATGGAGTTGCAGATATTACCGCACTTATTCATTTGTCTTTTGATTTTGTGGTGTTTTTTCCCAAAAAGATTTTTTTCTTCTCTCTTCTCTTCCCTTTTCTTTCTCCTCCCCCTACTCCTCCTCTTCTTCTCTTTCCCTTCTGTTCTTCCTGTCATCTCTCCCCCTCCCTCTCTCTATCTCCTTCCTCTGTCTCCTCTCTCTTACTCTTCTTTCCTTCCTTTCCTTTTCTTCCTTTTGTCCTTTTATGTAGTCAAGTATTTTATCTTTCCTTCTTGGTTTGTGGATTTTGAATTAAACTGGAAAGGTTTTAGCCTCTCCTGTATTAAAAAGAAATTGGTGGGCCGGCCGAGTGGCGCGTAGGTTAAGAGCTGGCTTGGGATGCCAGAGGGCCCCGGTTCGGATCCCACATATGAGGGCCAGTGACACTGATCTGCCTCACCAGGGAAGAGTGCAATGAT